GTTTGGGGGGCAAGAAAAAACCCCTAAATGAAATTTCCCCGGGAATCACAGTGAGGGGCCCCCCCCCCCGAGGGAAAAGGTGGGCATTAAAAACACCAAAAAACAAAAATCGGTTTGCGGGGAAAAGACGAAAAAAGGAAGGGAAAAACCGGGAAAAGTTTAAAGCCCCCAGAAGGGGAGAGATATAAAGAACAGAGCGTAACCACCCATGTAAAATGGATACGGGCTGCTGGTAAGCACGAAGTTGAACCAAAAAACCCGATGGTACGGAAAATCAGTCGGAGAAGAAGGGCCCCCTTTCATTAACCCTTTTAAGGGTTTTTGTCGTATAGTACGTTTTTTTCGGTAGGGGTTTTTGGCCCTACTATACGCATAAATTCTAAACGGCCTCAAAAACAGTGGGGAAGGGAAAACTGGTAGGCCCTTTATATGAAAGAATGGGTCTATGTGGTAGTGTGACAGCCCAAAAAATTTCCCGCAGCACACAGTGCATAATGAGAAAAAAAAAAATTTGGAAACCTTTTTTTTTTGGGAAAAAATCAGCGACTTTGCCCGTGTATTTTCGTATGGTATTTATTGTTGTTTTTCCCACTTTTTTTGGCCCTTTTTTTAGAATGGAAGCCCTAATTTCCGGAAAAATTTAGATGATTTTTTGGGTGGTTTTAACCCAAAAAAGGGCCCTTTAAATTGAGCTCAAAGTAGCAAAATGTTCGATTTTTTACCAAAATTTTAAAAATAAACAAAACGTGGGCCAAGGGGTGCAATACACGTCAAAATGGGTGAGTCTAAATTCTTTCACAAGTTTTCCCCCAATAATATTTTTTTACCATTTTTTAAAACTAATGCAGTAGGGCCCGGGGTAACAGTTTAAAACTTATATTTTTTCCGAGAATAAAAATTCAAAATGGAAAAACAAAAAGAATATGAGAGGGGCCTTGGGGACGTGACTAATGACTAGAGGAAAAATTTTTTTTAGTGCCAAAGTCTTTCTTGTTTTTTTCTAAACCCCATTCGGAAAATTTGGGAAACTTTTTGGGAAAATTTTGTGTGAAAATTTGGGAAAAAATTTCTTTAAATTTTTTACCACGGTTTCTGGAAGGTTTAATTTTATAAATGGGGGGGTTTCTTTGGGACCATTCGATAGAAAAAATGGAAATTTTTAAACGAAAATTTTTCATGTTTTTTGTCGGGCCCAGTTTCAGCGAAATTGGCCGAAAAAAGGGGGTCAAAGTGGGCAAAACGGGGGATACGTAAAAATGCCGAGAAACCCCTAACCTTTGCGGAGCATTTAAATTTTGTAAGTTTTTTTTATCAAATTAAAAACTTTTGGGGTCTTTATGATCGGGGGAAAAAATTCTCTACTTAATTTCATAAGAGAAAAAATTTTTTTTTTTTTTTTTAAAAATTTGGGGCCCACCCTGAAAAACGAGTTTTTGGAGAGGGCCCTGTCGACCCTCAAAGGGTTTAAAAATTTTCCCCTCAGGAAAATTCTGAAGAAACAATAAAAATTTTGCCTGAGATGTGAAAATAACAGAGAGTGAAATTTTTTGGGTTTCCCGTAAGCAAAAACCAACAGGGGCAAACTGGGAGAGTAACATCTGAACCACCCCGATTTTCCCAGGCCGCGTTTTATTCCCCTGTAAAAAAGGGCCCTGATTGGCAATGATAAAGATACTTGAAATCCGCAGGGTTTAAAGGGTTTTTCCCCGGACTAGAAGGGTTTTGAAAGTCCACATCGGAGGCAGGGAAAATGTTCAAGCAGCGAAAAGGGAAAGGAAAGCTGTGAAGAAAGGAGTTGCGCAGATGGGGCGAGGAAGGAAAGAGCGGAAGGTGGATCAGGTCCAATTTTATGGTTTTTGGCCTGCCAAAATTTTTCAGAGATTGCTTCAAGTGGTTTTTTGGGAAATTAGAATGTCGTATGGGAGACAATAATTTGGGGAAAGGTAGGGGAAAAATGAGTAAAGATTGGAACTGTATTTGGGCTGTACCAAAGGGAGGGGGATGCGAAAAAGGGGGGAGGGGAATGGAGAAGGGGGGCAGGGGGACAGAAGAGGCAGGAACCCGGGAAAGGGGGCGGAAGAGGAAAAAAAAAAACTTGGGAGGGAAAAGGGGGAAAGGGAAGGGACATTAAAAAGGAGGAGGGGGAACCTCGCCCCTTTTTAACTGACCATGAGGGGGGGAAGAACTAGGGCCCGAGACAGGGAGGGGAAAATGAGGAAAGGTTTAAGATGGGGTTTGGGGGGTGTTACCGGACCTTTTTTTGACTTTTTGAGAAGTAAAGGGGCGTTGGGGGGAGGTGTCGTACGAGGTCTCATCCATACTGAGGGTTGTGAGAGGAATCGAAGAAACCCAGAGTAGACTGAGGCGTTTTAAGTAGGGACTCTGACCGGGGGACAGCAAAAGGGTTAGATAAGGAGTGTTATGGGGAGGGAACCCCCCGAGGTGGGTGTAGAAGATGGGGTAAATAGAAGTGGGGGGGAAAGTTTTGAAACACGGGGAAAAAGAAACCACGTTGGGGGGTCTCCCTTTGGGGGCGGAGAAGAGAAAACCCGCCATGGCATAAGGGAGACCTTCTGTCTCTTTGAGCTAAGGATTTCCCGCCCCGTTTTTAAAAAGACCGACAACGGCGAGAGTAAAGAAGGGTGAGCCTATGACAGTTAAGGCAAGAGGGAGATCGATTGCAAAGGGCGTATTTGAATTTGGGCATCGGCAAACCCCAGACTGGGGATTCGGGATAGGGTCTGCAAAATTTCCCCGGATGGGCCAAAACGCCCGCCCAAATTTTACACTGTTTTGGTGTAGGGGCACCTTTTGAAAATTGTAAAATGGGTTTTCCTGCTTTTAAACTGAGGATGGGATTCTCGGGTGTTTAAAGGTTTTTAAAAGAGCCACATTGCAGGGTATCATCTTTCCCCCCCACGGCAGGAAGAAGTAAGTGTCCCACCTTGGGTTTTGGGGGATCTTGGGGGGTTTTTAAACTGTTCTAGAATGTCGGGGCCAAAAAGTTGGAAATTTTGTTGAACTATGGGATGGGGCCCGAATGACGGACCACTACAAGAAAATTAGGGAAAGAAAGTTTTTTCAAGAGTGACAGGAACAAATCGATAGGGGAAAGACGAGAGGTCATAGCCCGGGTAGATTTTGTACGGTAATGATTTCGAGTACCCCCTTAAAAAGCATGAAAAGAAATATCTTTAAACCCAAAATGGCGTAGGAGTGCCTTGCCAATACAGGTCAGAAAAATAGGCAAATAGAAAGGGAAATTTGGGCGTAAAGTGAAGAATTTAGTCCACTTTCAGTCTGAAATGGAAACCCTGGAAAAAGGGAGTGAAGGGCGGGTCGATCGTTTTTTGGAAGAAAGAGAAAAGGGGGAAAAAGTATCATCAGAAGGTAATTTACGTTGATTTTTGGGGTGGGCCAGAGTTGGTCCCCACTTTGGGAAGGGTCGGCGAAATTTTAAAATTGCCGCACCGTAGAGGGGAGGCCGGAGCCTTGTCAGAGGGGAAACGAAAAGGGCCGATAAATCGAAGGGGGTAGTTCCCCGGGTCAGTACCCGAAGCGGGGGGAGGGAAAAAAGGGACCCCGGAAAAAGGTTTCAGAGGCATGGGAATGGCGAAGAGTGGTTCCCAAAAACGAGGGGGGGTAGAAGGGGTGCGGGGATCAAAAAGGGGGCCCGGGGGGAACCAGGTTAAAGGGCTAAGGGGGCCATGGGTTTGGTTTCTTCTTTCTTTTTGTTTTTAAAGGAAAAAAAAAAAAAGAAAAAGAAGAAAATAAAAAAAAAAAAAAAGAAAAAAAAAAGGGGGGGGCCGGGGGGGGGGGATAGGTCCTAGGAGGAATGAAAGGGCCAGAAATCTCCCTCCGCGCCCAAGAGGACCTCAGCACCGCAAGTAGCGCAGATGCAGCATGGAACCCGTGCCATACCCTACCCATCATGCTAGTAAACTAACAATCCGGGATAGCAACCTCACATCTGCCGAGCTACCTCGGTGGACAAAAGAGAGGGCGGCCGGATATCCGCCACAAAGCATACCTCCTTCGGCCACCACCCCCGGAATCCGAAAGGTGGCTTCCAGAGATACACTCGTCGCCCGAGACACCCAAAGCTACTCCGGGATACCGGAGAGGGATCGGGACATCCCCAGGCGATCCAGATTCCACGGCAAACTACGCCACCGCTAAGAACCTCAACGGAATGGGATGGACCCCAGTATCCTTTCTCCTACCTAGGAACTAGCGCACCTGTGGGAGAAATCCCAAAGGACAAAAAGAGGAAGGGCAAAAGGGAGGAGTGGGGAAGAGGAGGAGGAAAGGAAAAAGGGGAGGATGGGGAGGATGGGATAGGGGAGGGGAGATTGGGGGGTAATTAGGTTCGGTCTGAGGAAGAAGACCGATAGGTCTAATTCCTCAGACCAAGAGCCTCTTCACCATGCCAAGGAGCCCCCCTTGAAGAGGACTACATTTTGTAATACTGCAGAAAGAAATAAAGTTTGGTGTTTAGTTGAGTGGAGGTAGTAAGACAGGTAGTAAGGCAGGCTCAGGCCAATCTCTGCACACCACAACACAGACATGCTACTCTTGCAACTGCCCTTGTTTCCTCTTTTTAGTCAGTCTTATATCTCTGTTAGTTTTAAACACACTGGCCGTCTCCCACCAAGGCAGAGTGACTCAAAAATGAAGAAACACTTTCAGAAAGTTTTTCTTCTTTTTACATTTAATAATTTATGCAGGAGAAGGGGTTACTAGCCCCTTGCTCCCAGCATTTTAGTTTCCTCTTATGACATGCATAGCTTACGGAGGAGGAATTTTTCTCCACTTCCCCATGGAGTTTGTTAGATATTCTCTGCATCATACTTATACTGATGGTTTGGCAACAGATTTATAAGCCAGTGGGGGAAGAAACAATAACAAACCTTAATGTTTCATGGTAAATTTTAAATTGTCAATAAAATCTTTATTACCCTTTAAATTTAATTCCCACTACTGGAGTAGATAATACCTACTGTTCTCAAGGGTAAGAATGATGACAATGGGTCTTCGATTAATACCTCCTACACAGGACCCCGACACATAAATCGCAGAAGAATGGGAGTGTAGTGGGAGCCATCCTGCAAGGGACCAAATGGGACTACAACGGACAAGGTCCCGAGGCACTCTTAATTAACGAGCCTCAGGTGGTCAGCCCTTACTACATGCTCAGGGTATGGAAAATCTGACAAAGAAAAAAACAAGCTTGTCCAAAAAAGAAAAAAAAATTGCATGCAAAGCTAAAAAAATCATGAGACCCCTATATACATAAATTCCCAAAGTCTACCTGAAGACACATCCTGTGTGATAGGACCAAACCAGTAAATAATGTAAAGCCTTGTTTAATGGACAAAGGGGGGGGTGTGTGGGGGCTGGTTTATGGGGCTAAGGACCCCAACAGTATTTTAAGTTAACGTTCTTAAATACCAAAATTTATTGAATGATGGGGACTTTGTCTATATGTAGAAGGCTGATCAACCTTAGACGAGAGGCAGTGGGTCAAACTATTTTTCTCAAAAAAATAGGTTTATATATGACACAAAAACACAATTTAAATAAGTAGTTTATAAATTTGTATTTTTTTTTTGTAAAAGTAAAATTAGGTGTTGTGAATTGTGGTAAAGGAAAATTGTGCTTGGCAACAGTCTTTTTTTTTGGTGGGAGGGGGCTTAGGTAGGCTCTCTCTCTCTCCCTCTCTCTGACTCCTCTCTTGGGTGACCTTAAACCCCTGGCGGAACTCTGGGTCCTTCTTTTTGGGGGGCTTTGTGTGCCCCGGGGTGGTTTTTTTAATTTAAGTTGTGGCCACCATACCGGGGTGAAAAAGTGTGTCAAAAATGGTTACCCCAGGTTATGCAAGAAGAGAGGAAAAAAGTTGTTGGGTACACCATGGGGGGAAAAAAGTATGGAGTGTGTAGTTTTTTGTTTTGAAAATGGGGCTGTGATTGTATATTTTTTGTAAATATTTTTTGGGAAAATACAGTTTATTTTTTTGTGTAGTTTAATAATGTGCAGAGGGTGGTAAAGGTATCAGGACACTCGGGTGTCAGCCATAATGTAAGTATTCCCCCTAGACAATTAAGGCCTTTTAAGTAAAAGTCCCCACACTAGAACTGTGTAAGAACCTTACTTCAAAGTAAAAAAGACTACCAACGTAAAGCTGGTAATGGCAACTGCAGTGAATAGATTTGCATGTCTTGTATAGTTACAATAAAAAACACAATTCGTAAACAAACATTTTGTCGTTGTTTGGAAATTGGGTTGACTCATGGATTTTGTCCCCTTTTTTCAAAGTCCCTTAAATCTAGGATTTACTATATTTAATGTAACACGGTTATATCTCTTACAAAAAATTGAGAAGCATAATTTACGGAAAAAAGAGAAATAAATATCTTAAAGCAAGTCTTAATCTGAACATTCTTTATTAAAATAATAATATAATAATAAAAATAATAATAATAATAATAATAATAATTGCAGAGTAAGACACCACTTGGACACAAATATGAAACATTGGTAAAGAAAGAAAGAAAAGAAAGAAAGAAAGAAAGAAGAAAGAAAGAAAAAAGAAAGAAAGAAAGAAAGAAAGAAAGAAAGAAAGAAAGAAAGAAAGAAAGAGAAAGAGAAAGAGAAAGAGAAAGAGAAAGAGAAAGACAAAGACAAAGACAAAGACAAAGACAAAGACAAAGACAAAGACAAAGACAGAAGACAGAGACAGAGACAGAGACAGAGACAGAGACAGAGACAGAGACAGAGAGAGTGTTGTATACAGTGGACCCCCGCATAGCGAACGCCTTGCATAGCGAACAATCCGCATAGCGAACGCTTTGTTCGCTAAAATTTTGCCCCGCATAGTAGACAAAAACCCGCTCAGCGAACTTCGTCCGATACGCGTCCAATGTGGGCCCTCAGCCAGCCTCACATGTGCCGCCCGTCCCATTGTTTACCAGCTAGCCTCCGCGGTAACATTCAAGCATACACTCGGAATATTTCGTATTATTACAGTGTTTTCGGTGCTGTTTGTGGAAAATAAGTGACCATGGGCCCCAAGAAAGCTTCTAGTGCCAACCCTACACCTCAAAGGGTAAGAATACCCAATTGAAATTAAGAAAGAAATCATTGATAAGTATGAAAGTGGAGTACGTATCACCGACCTGGTCAGGTTGTACAAGAAACCAAAATCACCATCGCTTCTATTGTGGGCAAGAAAACGGCAATCAAGGAAGCTGTTGTTGCCAAAGGTTTAACTGTGTTTTCGAAACAAAGATCGCAAGTGATGGAAGATGTTGAGAGACTCTTATTGGTGTGGATAAATGAAAAACAGCTAGCAGGAGATAGGTCTCTCAAGCGATCATATGTGAAAAGGCTAGGAGTTGCATGACGATTTAGTTAAAAAATGCCTGCAACTAGTGATGATGTGAGTGAATTTAAGGCCAGCAAAGGTTGGTTTGAGGATTTAAGAAGCGTAGTGGCATCCATAGTGTGATACGGCATGGTGAGGCTGCCAGTTCGGACCACAAAGCGGCTGAAAAAATATGTGCATGAATTCAAGGAGTACATAGAAACTGGAAGGACTGGAACCTGAACAAGTGTTTAATTGTGATGAAACAGGCCTGTTCTGGAAGAAAATGCCAAGCAGGACCTACATTACTCAGGAGGAAAGGCACTCCAGGACATAAGCCTATGAAAGACAGGCTTACTTTGTTGATGTGTGCCCAATGCTACTGGTGATTGCAAAGTTAAGCCTTTATTAGTGTATCACTCTGAAACTCCCAGAGCGTTCAGGAAAAGAATGTCCTCAAGGATAATTTGTGTGTGCTGTGGAGGGCAAACAGTAAGGCATGGGTCACTAGGGAATTTTCTATAACTGGTTACACCATGCATTTGCCCCCAATGTGAAAGATTACCTAACTGAAAAGAAATTAGACCTTAAGTGCCTCCTGGTGTTAGACAATGCCCTGGTCATCCTACAGACGTGGCAGAGCGACTTTATGGGGACATGAGCTTCATTAAGGTGAAGTTTTTGCCTCCTAATACCACTCCTCTCCTGCAGCCCATGGACCAGCAGGTCATTTCCAACTTCAAGAAACTGTACACAAAAGCTCTGTTTCAAAAGTGCTTTGAAGTGACCACAGACACTGGATTGACTCTAAAAGAGTTTTGGAAGGATCACTTTAATATCCTCAGTTGTGTAAACCTTATAGGTAAGGCTTGGGAGGGAGTGACTAAGAGAACCTTGAACTCTGCTTGGAAGAAACTGTGGCCAGAATGTGTAGACAAAAGGGATTTTGAAGGGTTTGAGGCTAACCCTGAGAGGAGTAGTATACCAGTTGAGGAATCTATTGTTGAATTGGGGAAGTCCTTGGGGTTGGAGGTTAGTGGGGAGGATGTGGAAGAGTTGGTGGAGGAGGACAATGAAGAACTAACCACTGATGAGCTGATAGATCAACTTCAAGAGCAAGAGGCCAGACCTGGGGAAACTGGTTCAGAGGAGGGGAGAGAGAAATTGAAGGAATTGCCTACTTCAAAGATTAAGGAAATGTGTGCAAAATGGCTTGAAGTGCAAACCTTTTTTGATGAAATCACCCTCACACAGCTATTGCAAGCCGTGCTGGTGATGTTACAATGCACTGTTGTGAACCACTTTAGACAAATCATAAAGGAACGAGAGGTACAGGCCACTATGGACAGATATGTTGTGCGAAAGAAGTCCAGTGACTCTGAAGCTGGTCCTAGTGGCATTAAAAGAAGAAGGGAAGTAACCCCAGAAAAGGACTTGCTACCTCAAGTCCTAATGGAAGGGGATTCCCCTTCTAAACACTAACACTCTCTCTCCCCTCCTCCCATCCCATCAATCATCACCAGATCTTCAATAAAAGTAAGTGTCATGTAATTGTGCATGCCTTTTTCAGTTTGTGTGTACTAAAATTAACATTTTTTTGTGGTAAAAAATTTTTTTTTTCATACTTTTGGGTGTCTTGCACGGATTAATTTTATTTCCATTATTTCTTATGGGGAAAATTAATTCGCATAGCGAACATTTCGCATAACGACCAGCCCTCTTGCACGGATTAAGTTCGCTATGCGGGGGTCCACTGTATTAGAGTCTTGCTCTTGAACTCTCAGGCAGATCTGATAGTCTACAGCATACACATCTCTCTTACCTGTGAGTCCTACTTTTGTTTAACTGATTTTTCACTTTGCTTGGTTGAGTATCTATTACATTATAAACTAAAAATGAATTACAGGTCCTCCATCACAAATCCGGCATCATTGGGACCTGTAGTGTGCCGGATTACTGAGTTTGCCGTATTACACAGTGGTTAGGTTAGAATACATTTAATAAAATTAACCAACTTGACTTTCACAAAGTTCATTGAACATCAGCAAAAATTGAACATTTCTGCTATTTTGACCTCAATTTCAAGGTACTTTTCATCATGAAAGCAATCAAAATCATGTCTATTTCTGTATTTTTTTTTTTTTATTATCACACTGGCCGATTCCCACCAAGGCAGGGTGGCCCGAAAAAGAAAAACTTTCACCATCATTCACTCCATCACTGTCTTGCCAGAAGGGTGCTTTACACTACAGTTTTTAAACTGCAACATTAACACCCCCCCTTCAGAGTGCAGGCACTGTACTTCCCATCTCCAGGACTCAAGTCCGGCCTGCCGGTTTCCCTGAACCCCTTCATAAATGTTACTTTGCTCACACTCCAACAGCACGTCAAGTATTAAAAACCATTTGTCTCCATTCACTCCTATCAAACACGCTCACGCATGCCTGCTGGAAGTCCAAGCCCCTCGCACACAAAACCTCCTTTACCCCTCTCTCCAACCTTTCCTAGGTCAACCCTACCCACCTTCCTTCCACTACAGATGATACACTCTTGAAGTCATTCTGTTTCGCTCCATTCTCTCTACATGTCCGAACCACCTCAACAACCCTATCTCAGCCCTCTGGACAACAGTTTTGGTATCCGCACTTCCTCCTAACTTCCAAACTACGAATTCTCTGCATTATATTCACACCACACATTGCCCTCAGACATGACATCTCCACTGCCTCCAGCCTTCTCCTCGCTGCAACATTCATCACCCATGCTTCACACCCATATAAGAGCGTTGGTTAAAACTATACTCTCATACATTCCCCTCTTTGCCTCCAAGGACAAAGTTCTTTGTC